TTTATATTTATATGTATATTTATTTATATTTACATATATATATATTTTTATTTATATATATATATATTTATTTATATTTATATATTATATATATAATAACTATATACGAATTATATACGAACTTCGAACTGAGTCGAAGCAAGAATTTTTGCGAAAATCCGTCAAATTCGAGTCGAGTCTCCCTCCCATTATTTTCTCGATTCGATCGAAACATACTTTTCCAAATCTTCCTTTCCTTTATTCGAAAATGATAATATTCGAACGAACCGAAATAAAACGAATTCGATATCGAAATATTTTTTTATAAAAACGGAGAGAGAAAAAGAAAAAGAAAAAATATATATATATAGTTATTTTCTTTAGTTGAAAATTATCATTACGTTACGAAGAAGGAACGCGTTATATAATTAAAAAAATTGAGTTGATTTTGTTTAAACGATGATATTACGAGTGGCGATTAAACGCGAAAACTAACCGTTGTTCGATTGTATTGATAAAAGATGAAGTATAATCGTTGGAATTTTAAAACGTGATAAGATTGTACAAATTATCAGTCATTTTATAGTCCGTTAAGTATAAATAAAATATTTATATTGATCTGTCTTTTTAACTCAGGTTTTTCAGGTTTAACCCTTTCCATTGTCAAGACCTCTCTTACATGTGCTATTTGAATGAAAAAAGGAGACACGATGATCATAAGTTTCATAAGTTTATAAAAATTTTCCAGTGAATGTATTTTTCCACATTGTGTATGTGATTATGTGATCACTAATTTAATTACAATTCAGAAATAAAAATTTAATTTTTTTATTAATATTTAATTAAATAATATTTTTATTATTTTTTTTCTATCGAATTATAATATGCATCTTCCGTATTTTTATGACGATCGAGAGATTCGTTCGTGAAAATAATAAAGGATTTAAGGATAGGAAGGATTAATTGGTTGAACGGGAATGCAATTAATCCGTAATTAAAAATCAAGAATTTCGAACAATGGCAAATTTGTTTCGTCCGCCAAGATTTATTTCGCATTTGATCTTTCTAATTTCTCATTGTCGGATCGTGTCTGATCAAACGTGAACAAACTATCACTTGCCAATTAAGATTAAGCAGGAATTTTATTGGAGCGATATCCTAGTTTAAACGAAGATTTATCGAGAAAAATTGTAACCGAAAGAACACGGAGACGATTTTCTTTGACGATCGAATCGATCATATATACTTGTTTGACCAGTCGGATAAAATTGTTTCCACGCTGCAAGATACAAGAATCTATCAGATTACACGGTTAAATAATCGAAAATAAGGAGATTGGAGGCAAGGATTATCGGTTGCTCGATTGATAAAAGATATCGTGTCCAAAATCGATAAAAAAAAAAAAAAAATGAGAATTTTCCAAACTATACTTTTATCGAAGTTTTATCGAAGTTTTTAATAAACGAATTCGTTCTCCTTTTCCCCTATCGTCCTTATCAATGTCCAAATACGCCCAATGGCGTACGTACAGGATCTCTACAATTTATTCCCTAAAAGAACCGAATTTCTACGAATGCATCCTCCAACGTCCTTTTTTGCGCTTCCACTCTCTTTTCGGACTCGAAACCAGTTTTTTTTCTCTCTCTCTCTCTTTCTCTATTCTTGAACAATTGTCTGGAAGAAAGAAGCATCGAAATACGATCCTGGCCGAACTTGCTTCTTTTCAGACTCATATTTATTCAACAGGTTAAACGGAACGCGAGCACAAAAGTGTTTACACTTGTTGAATAAGAGACGAAATTAGCGTGCCATTTATTTCCCGCTTTTATTCGCTCGTCTCCCTTTCTTTGTTTATATACCGTTTCTGGTAATTTCTTATTTGCAAGCGGTAAGTGACGTAAATTGGCATTACGAAGGAAAGAAGATTTTTATTAAAATTTCCTTCCTTCGAAAGATAGAAGAATTTTTTATAAGGAGAGAAAAAAAAATTTCAATCAAAAGATTAACGCGATTTTTATTCTCTCCAATTTTTCGTCCTCTCTTTTCGAAGATGGCGTACGATGGATCGAGTTAAAATTAAACGTAGCAACGAATCGAATCCAATGAACCGACGTCTCTTTTCCTAGATCCCAAATTACGAAATCAATCAAATGAGGAAGGAAGGCGTATCTTTCAAAGAGAATATAACTCTTGGCCCCATCGCCAAATATCTCTCCTACGTTTAATTAAACTGCGATACGCTCCGGAAATTCTAATAACATTCAATAAATCACAGAGATACCGAAACGAAAGATGAATGACTAATCCTACTAACTAACCATCTTACGAGAAATCATTAATTCCTGTACGACCGAGATAACGTAAATGAGAAATATAGAGCGTGTATATTTCAACTGTCAATAAATTAATCAATCCTCGACGCGAAATTCGTATTTATATTCGAGGGAACGAACAAATTTTGAATACGCGGCGTTCGACACTTCACTTGTCGTAAAATCAAATTTCTACGATTTCTGGGATAAAAATTTGAAAGGACTGCACGAGTATGTATACTTCGTTCAAAATTAAAGAAGATTATTTTGATCGTAAATTTCGTCGATGACCTATTTCACCTAGAACTGTTTACCGGTTTCTCATTTCGTGCTACGAGCGCGACAAACTTCTGTAACTATCTCTGATGTAATTCGGAAACTAGTCGAATCGGAGACGCATTATTTTCCAGAAATAATTTCGTGATCATCGACAATTTGACGACGCGACAAACATTTCCCTGTTACGTTTCTACTCTCTGTATATACATAAATAATACGTAGTAATCCCATCGAGTCAAAGGCCATTATTTAGAAAATGTTCCTTTTCCGGAATATATGAGCCAACAGAAAGAGAATTTGGGTCACGAAATATAGGGCGCAGCCTTAATCTATACACGAAAATATAGATACATATCCGTTAACCTCGTTTACGAGAAAATTTCAGAATTTGTTTAAATTGTCGTAAATCGATAATTTCGTTGGAAGGATAATGAATCGTGTTACGTTGTAAAAAGATAGAGTGTGAAGAAACATTCGATCCTAATTCAATTTAATTTAATTTGATTCAAATATAAAAAAGTATAAAGTAAAATGATATTTAGAAAGTGATATTTAATAAAAACACGAAGCTAATATGTTAAAATTTATATTTCAGATTCAAATAGATAGAAATACGTTACATTGTACAAACAAAACGATATTCAATTATAAGATTATGCTGCGATTATATTCGAATAAAGAATAAAAAAAACGTAACCTAAAAATCAAAAATTTCGCTTTTAGCGAAATACGTGCAATATATATGCAATACGTGCGTTATCTTTGAAATTAATTGAATAAATTTTTTTTAACAATTTCAAGAAACAAAATCCAAAATTGTTTGCTTAAATATAACTACAATCGAGTGTAGTGCGCGAGCGCGGTTACCCAGAATGAGCCCCCGAAGGATGCACTGACCCGGACAATTTCGGAGCTAGCCTCCCCTACCAACATGAAACACGACTACTGTTGATCGAAATCGGCCTACCTGTGGATCGCGATTCGTGGCTCCGGCGACGTGGTTTGCCCCCGGCATCCGAGGGCTGTCGGAACCTTGAGAAGGTCGCAGGAAGACAGATGATGCCCATATTCGCGGCAATTCCAGGTGTAACTGGCACGATCATCCTCCTTTACGGATTGCTGCCTCCTGGCACTGGTATTGTCACCTGCACCACCCTCGGAGAGATGGCGAATCAGGGGACGACGCATCGCATAAGGTTATGTTTCACCGGCACATTCGAAACACCGCCGCGCAAAATTAACCGATATCTCTGATAATTATTTCTATTCGAACGAATCGGCAAATATTGCCTGTATACAATAACAATCTCGATATAATTCGACCGACGAATCGTGGAGAAAAAGAAATCCGTGACAAGTTCTGTCAAACTTTTGCGATCGCACGATCGTTTCGTTCGATCGCTACACGTCTATCACGCTCATATTCCAGAACGACGTAATCATGGCACGAGTTCTCGCGAGACTATGTACGTGCTTCTTGCGCGAGTGTTTACGACCATCCACCCCCCACCCTCTTTCCCTACCACTATTTGTCTTACCTGCCACCCACAGTCCCGAACCGTACCGAACATTCAATGTGATTGGCCGGTAAGGTGGGTAGCTTTGGGGGTTGTTTATCAGAGTTTCGTTTTATCGACTTCTTTCCGTAGATGTCGTTATTATCTTTCGTCTTGAATTTTTACTGGTATTATTTAATTGCAGACGAGATATACAATAGATTTAACATTTAATGGAACTTTGAGTTCTGAAATATTATATAATCGCGCAAAAAATTAGAATGCTCTTTATGATTTAGAGCGTAAGATTTAATATAAGAATTATATTTAATTTAATCACAAAAGTTTATAAAATCTTTTTATAAATCATCATCATACGTTATATTATTGAATTATATTCAATAATTGATCTTTTGACTTTGTTACGAATAACAGAAAATAAAATTAATTGGATATCGAAGTCTTTCGAGCGTATAAATTTTGAAGAAGTATAGATAAAGAAAAGAAACAATAGGAGAAGGACAGAAATTATATAAAAATATTGAAATTAGCGCCATCTTCAGAATGCCGCAAAAGAAATACACGTAGAAATGAACTATCAGCGCCATCTCTTGATTTTTATGATCATCACCCAAAAAATGGCGTCAGTAGTTAATTCTTACTCTAATTATCTTGCCACCATCTTCTATATGTGTTTCATTTGCGGCATTCTGAAGATGGCGCTGATTTCAATATTTTTATCCCATGTCCGTCCTTCTCCCACTATTTCCTCTTCTTGTCTGTACGTGCTTTTGGCACGTGATACGTAGAAGATACGAGATGTCAATTGAGTAAACTTTTTATTATTTCTCTTTCAAAACTACAAAATGTATCTTTTATGTAAAAAATATAAATATTACATTTCTCGACTTTACAATGTATTTTTAAGACGATGATCTCGCAAATCATATTATATATCTAATATATAACCCGAATGTTTTGACAAAAGACAACGCTCGATGAAATTTAAAACGATCATTTATAATTTTAAATTGAAATTTAGCTTTGACTCCAACCATTGCTAACCATTATAATCTTACTTTGAGCCGAATCGGTAAAGTTGAAAATGACGCTAAAATGATAAAAGAGTCCTCCGAGGCTCAGGACAAAAAGAATGCATCGATTGCGTAGACAAATTCTGTACCTCGTTTTTGATTTAATTTACCAATGACATTCTAATTACACTATTCGAATCGTTAAACAATTATTCTATTTTCTGTAATACGAATATCTATTTAAGAATAAATTAATTTTTTAACATTCAATTACAAAAATAAAAATTATTTTATATTTAAATTTAAATATTCAAATTTTTAAACTCTTCCTTGAAGCAAAAATTCTGACGAAAGTACGAAATAATCAACTTTGATAACTGAACTCATATCCGGTATAACAGAATTCACGACCTACTTTACAAATACTGAATAGTGAAAAAAATTACACCGATAACGTATTATTATAATTAGATTTACATCGTTTTGTCCAACAAAATTAATATTGTTCGAATATTATTAAAGCATTATAATATTCATTCGTCTTAGATGCAGTGTGTTAATTGTATATTTATGACATTTACGTCATAGGTTTAAATTAAATATGTACGTACTTAAATATTATATAAGCACTTTTCTAACAGTAATTGATAGGTATGATGCAATACCATATCTTATTATTTTTTTCTTTTTTTATATATACTATTCATTTTTTACGAGTATACGAGATTAGAATAATCATTCGCATACATATTTCAATCAATATATTTCAATATATTTATAATCAATCATATTTCAAAATAATAAATTTCAATTACAAGTTTAGAAAAATATTAAAAATAAACTTTATCATCTTATTTTAAATTATATCGAATAATTAGTGTTTGTAATAAGCGTAGATTTATTTTTAGTATTTATGTTCTTTTTTTTTTGCACGTATTATTATAATTTTTTAAAATATATAATAATTTAATTGTACCGATATTATTATCTTTTAAAACAAATTTCATGAAATTTTCTATCTTATCTTATATCTTAAAAATTTTAAAAAAATATTTCATATTATCTTTTTCTCGAATAATCAAATTAATGTGTTTTAAAATATATCTATTTTGCATAAAAAATAATCATGTTTCGTAATTTATTACT